AATAGAGAGTGTGCAGATTATGAGATGAAAGCTGATGGGAACCTATATTATCATGGGAGGCTAGTGATTCCAGATGATGATGAGTTAAAGAATGATGTATTAACGGAAGCTCACTGTAGTCCATTAACGATGCACCCAGGAGGAAACAAAATGTATATGGACCTCAAGAGTCGATATTGGTGGCCAGGAATGAAGAAAGACATTACAGAATTTGTGTCCAAATGTTTGACTTGTCAACAAGTCAAAGCTGAGCATCAGGTTCCTTCAGGATTATTGCAACCAATGACGATTCCTCAGTGGAAATGGGAAAACATAACGATGGATTTTGTAGCGGGGTTACCTTTAACTCCAAATAAAAGAGATTCAATCTGGGTGATTGTAGACAGATTGACTAAGTCAGCCCATTTTATTCCGGTACGAACTGATTTCTCTATGGACAAATATGCCGAGTTGTATATCAGAGAGATTATACGGTTGCATGGTATACCTGTTTCTATAATTTCTGATCGAGATCCTCGATTTACTTCGAGATTTTGGAAGTCTTTGCATGGAGCATTGGGAACTCGATTGAATTTTAGCACAGCATTTCATCCTCAGACTGATGGACAATCTGAGCGAATGATCCAAATCTTAGAAGATATGTTGAGAGCTTGTGTAATTGAATTTAAAGGATCGTGGGAAAAATATTTGCCACTTGCCGAGTTTGCCTACAACAATAGCTATCAGTCGAGTATTAAAATGGCTACCTATGAAGCTCTTTATGGAAGGAAATGTCGTACGCCTTTGAACTGGTACGAGCTCAAAGATAAAGAAGTGCTTGGTCCTGAGTTGATTCAGGAAGTAGAAGAAAATGTCCAAATAATTCAGAGTAATCTCAAAGCTGCAGCAGACAGACAGAAATCATATGCAGATCTAAAAAGGAAAGGAATTGAGTTTCAAGTTGGAGATAAAGTGTTTTTAAAAGTGTCTCCATGGAAGAAGATGTTGAGGTTTGGTCGAAAAGGAAAATTGAGTCCTCGGTTTATTGGACCATATGAGATTGTAAAGAGAGTAGGACCTGTAGCATATCAGTTAGCTTTACCACCTGAGATGGAAAAGATACATGATGTCTTTCATGTTTCAATGCTTCGAAGATATAGATCTGATCTCTCTCATATCGTGAAACCAGAAGAGATTAAGGTTCGACCTGACTTGACTTATGAGGAAGAACCTGTTCATATATTAGCTTACGAGGTGAAGCAACTAAGGAATAAAATTATTCCTTTGGTCAAAGTGTTATGGAGAAATCACAAAGTAGAAGAAGCAACATGGGAACGTGAAGAAGATATGTGACATCAATACCCCCATTTGTTCGTGCAATGAAAATTCGAGGGCGAATTTTCTTAAGGGGGAGAGATTTGTAACATCCTAAATGACAGGTTAGTGACTAAATTGTAAACATTCAGAATTTGGTGATTAAAGTAAAAATAATTGTTAGTAAATATGAAATGAATTTAAGGACAAAATGGTCATTTGCAAGGAATAATAATTAAAATTTTTTTAGGCTATATTATAACCCACGTGGGGCTTGAGTAGGAAACAAAAGGTTTCCAGATTTTTCTCATATCTTCTTCCTTCTTTCTTATCTTCTTTACTCTTCTTCTTCCAAACGTGAAGACCCAAGCTTAAGGTAAGAATCTGAACCTTGGTCGTTTCTTTAATTGTTTAGCTTGGAAATTGAAGTTTGGATGTTATATAAGCTAAAGGAAAGCTTATATGACATTAAGACAACAAGATAAGTGTTTTAGAGATAGATTTGGAAAATTAGTTTTTAGATGAAATTTTGATATGGATGAGTTTTTGAAGTTTGAATAAGATTTTTGACTTGTCAATAAGTTAATTAAGGAATATGGATTGTTAGAATTGATTAGTAACATGTTGAAAATTTGGGTATGATTTTTAGCTTTGAGAATTGGAATGAAGTATGGGAAATAATAAAGTGTTGAAATGGTAGAAGTTAGTTAAAATGGTTGTAACTAAGTTTGGTAGGATGGAAGGAATTGTGTATGAAGAAAATTAGCAAAAATGGAGGATTTTCGGATTGGAACAGTAAATTTCTGGGAAAATTTACAGATTATGCAGAGGGAATCGATACCCCTTGGGGGGGGATCGATTCCCTCCTAAAAGAAAATGTTGAAGTTTGGTTTATTAAATTAGTTTAAGTTGTTAGTATCAAATTGCAAGGGTTAGTCTTCTAATAAATATCTTGAAAATTATGTTTATGTAGATCTAAAACGTAATTCTATTCTGGAACAATCGAAGAGTTAGGATTGAAACAACGAAAGCGAGGCCAAGGTGAGTGCCTATTTTAAGGGTAGTACAATGGAATAAGACTTGTGATAAGTCTAATCCTATGTTGATTTTTATAGAACAATAGTTATGAACATGCATACATGATAATTATTATGATACATGCATAAGGTATATATGCTCATATGATTTGATAAATGATATATGTGAATAAATTCAAATGTATATGTGATATGATAAGTGACATGAGCACAGGAACATATGAAATATAAGAATGATACCCATAGTATACGATATGAGAACTATAGGTATAGTTGGCATGCCAAGAGTCGAGGGTTTCATAGGTCCTTCGGGACAACTCATAGGTCCTTCGGGACAAATTCACAGGTCCTTCGGGACAAATTTCATATGCCACTCAGTGGGACTTATACGAGCTGTGGTGACAGCAATAGTGCACAACCTCAATTTACTCGAATACCTTGAGTTCTCAGTAATGTACATGGGCTTATAGAAAATTATCAAATGTAATTGCATTATTATTGCTAAATGTTATATCATTGAATGGATAGATTACATGTTCATATTTATAAGGAATACATCATCATTATATTCATATGCCTCACTAAGTCTATGACTTAGCGTGTAAGTGATTTACACGTAGGTACAGAAAAGTAAGAAGATCGATCTTAAGAGCAGCAACGCAGCATACCATCATTAGGGGATCAAATCAGAAGTGAACAACAAAGTAGGTATTTTTGTTATATAAAGTATGTTGGCATGTAATAAGTTGTTAGTTACGAACGCTCTGATCGACTTTTATAATGTTTTGAATGTAATTATGTAAGTGCATAGTAATGAATGGTTGAATTTGTTTACGAATTTTAAGTGCATTGTTTTGTTTGTTTTGGAAGTACTGTAGCAGGGGAATCGGTTCTCTGTAGCAGGGGAATCGATTCCCTATTTGTAAACTGGAAAATTTAACATTTCGGGTACTGTAGCAGGTTACTGTTCACGGTACTGTAGCAGATTATTATTTATACATATTTATTGTTCTCAAAAACATTTTTTTTACCTCAAAATTATATACTGAATATATTTTAATAAAATGTTATCTTATTTTCCTAAAATAAGTTCAAATGTTTTGTTATTTTATAAGGAAAATTATTTTAAAAAGGTAATGTCACATCTCGGACTCGTACTCGGGTCGGGTACAGGTTAGGGGTGTTACAAGATGTTATTTCTAGGACGTTAGACTTTGATATATTGACTTGGTGGAAGACAATTGGGATACAATTTCCTATATTGCAAGCTACTGCAAGAGATATTTATGCCATTCCAGTTTCTACTGTTGCTTCGGAGTCTACTTTTAGTACTGGAGGGAGATTGGTGAATGCGCAACGTAATAGACTTCATCCATCAACTGTAGAAGCTTTGGCATGTTGTCAAAATTGGTTATGTGCCGAAGAAGGTACAAACATATTTATCATGTAATTTTTGCATTACTTTAGTTATATGTTTTGTCATTATTTCTTATTAGATTTTATTTTAATTTACGATGTTTTAGGGTCAAACTCAAATGAAGGCAACTTTTATGAAGATGATGAAATCGAACAAGATGAGATAACTGTAAGTAATAATTTTATATTTGTTACTTTACTCCTATTATAATCTTTTTTTAAATATTAATTTATAATTTTATTTTATAGGATTTGACTATTTGAGTGGTTAGCTAAGATTGAAGAATGTGAACTTGTCAAGCCGATGATAATGGATCATTTTTTCCATCGGACATCCGTATTTATGTTCGTTTTATTATAATTATGTTTGAATTTTGAACTTATTAAACTATAGTATGGATTTATAATTTTCATTGTGAACTTGTATTTTAATTATGGATTTATAAAATTGTTTCCATGTTGAGTTGTTAGGTGTTTAAATCACCTTAGGGTATTTGTTTTAGCTTAGCCAAATTATGTTTAGGTTGGCCGTGGTTTATCTGCTGTCTAGATAACGAGTGGAAGAACATGATCTGGTAGTAAGGAAAATGCCATCCAGGATTGTAAAATTAAATGTATGTCTTTTGGTACTTTTTCTTTATTTATGTAACTACATGGTTTGTTAAATATTTGTTGTTACGCATTATCATAGATGAATTATGTTCTCAGAACTTCTTATTGCAAGTCATTTTTTATTTAAAATTGACTGCTTCAAGCTTCATTGACAAGAACGCTAGTAATAAATATACTGAAGGTAAACTGATTATGCTAGCCAAATTGGTTTTTTATTAAATAAAAAAATCGGGTCGGATCGGGTCGGGTCGGGTTGGTTTTTAATAAATAAAAAATTAAATCGGTCGGGTCGAGTCGGGTGAAAACTCAAATTTCGTCGGATCGGGTCGGGTCACGGGTGGAGGTACCCTTCTTTTCGGGTCGAGTCGGGTGGACCCAAAACCCGACCCAACCCGACCCATGCCCATCCCTACCTATACTCTTACTGTCATAATTTTTTTAATTTAAAATATTCTTTTAAATAGTAAAGAAGTCATGCTTTCAATACCCTTTTAGATTCACGGTAACTTTTGCTATATTTAAAAAAAAAAACCAACAGTATTATATTTTGAAAAAAAAAATGCAATATTGGTGTAATTTAGCCTATGTATATATATAATAGATCTGCAACATAAAAGAAAATTCAGAAAAAAACATCATTTTATTTTCTCATTTTCTTTCCTCTTTCTTTCTCTCCAAACACCGGGTTTCCCACACACTAACTCTTTCTAGAAATCTTCGGGGAAAGTTCCTTAATATACTTTGCAATCCTTTCTCTCTTCTCTTTCAGAATAATGAGATTCCGATCCATCATCTAAAATTATCTGTCTTTTTTTTTCTTATCAGTTTCTCAATTTTTTTTGATATTTTTTTTGTTTGGAATTGATAGTTGTGAAATTTCTTCTGTGTTTCTATTTTGGGGGAAAATGTATGTGATTGAAAAATGTTCTCATTTTTAGCACTCTTATGGAACCCGTATCTCTGCTTTGTGTTGATCTAAACGCTTTTATTTTCCCTCCAGATCTGTCAACAAAATCTAGGGTTAGGGTTTTTTCCCTTTCCGATACCGTGTTATTATACCAAATTAGTCTCTTGACAATGTGGTTGTTTTCGTTTTAGGACTCCTTTGGCTCGTCATTTTAAAATTTCCTTTTTGTTTTAATTTTTGTTCCTCTAAAATTCCGCAATGCTAAGGCAATTCCTCAGTAAACTCCCACGAAAATCGGGGAAATCGGACTCGCCTGAGCTTGCGCGTTCGAACTCATGCACGACAGCGGGTTCCACCCCACAAACCCACCGATCCAACAGTTTGAGTTCGAATTCTGGCCGTGCCTCTGCTCCAAAACGGACATCGTCCGCTGTTTTTCCGGCAAGTGTCGTTTCGGGAATCGAGCCATTGTTGCCATTCAAAGATGTGCCCGTTTCGGAAAGAATGAATCTTTTTGTGAGTAAAGTTAGCCTTTGTTGTGTGACTTTCGATTTCACTGACCCGACTAAAAATCTGATTGAGAAAGATGTTAAAAGACAAACTTTGCTTGAGCTTCTGGATTTTGTGTATGGGTCCGTCAGATTTAGCGAACCTGCAATTTTAGCCATGTGTAGGATGTGTGCTGTGAATTTGTTTAGGGTTTTCCCACCTAATTATCGATCTACTTCAAGTAATGGTGGTGAAAATGATGATGACGAGCCTATGTTTGATCCGGCATGGCCACATTTGCAAATTGTGTATGATTTGCTACTCAAGTTTATCACTTCTTCAGGTCTTGATGCCAAAGTAGCTAAAAAGTATATAGATCATTCCTTTATTTTGAGATTGCTCGACTTGTTTGATTCAGAGGATCCAAGGGAAAGGGATTGTTTGAAGACTATACTGCACAGAGTTTATGGGAAGTTCATGGTTCACAGACCCTTTATTCGGAATGCTATAAGCAATATATTTTATCGGTTTGTTTTTGAGACGGAGAGACACAACGGGATTGCTGAGTTGTTGGAGATTTTCGGCAGTATAATCAGTGGATTTGCTTTGCCTTTGAAGGAGGAACATAAAATCTTCTTGTGGAGGGTTTTGATTCCTCTCCACAAGCCAAAATCTTTGGGGGTTTACTTTCAACAGTTGTCTTATTGTGTTACTCAGTTCATTGAGAAGGAACCAAAGTTGTGCAGTACCGTGATAATGGGGTTGTTGAAGTACTGGCCCATAACGAACAGCCAGAAGGAGTTGATGTTTCTTGGTGAGTTGGAAGAGATTTTGGAAGCCATTAACATGATGGAGTTCCAAAAGGTTATGGTCCAGTTGTTCTGGCGGATAGGCTATTGCATTAACAGTTTCCATTTCCAGGTGACTCATTGACCTTTTTTTATTAGTTTTTATGATTCCCTGCCCCTTCCATTTGACTGTCTTTCAATGTTAAACTTTCTCCTATATCACATTAAAAGATGTATCTATTAATTTGTTAATAAAAATAATGACTAGGCTCTTTTTTGAATCTTGTGAAAGTTCACTGTGGGCTGTGATATTTAATTCATGTGAATTCTAGTTGTATTTAGTCATGCTTGGGCACATATCAATTTTTTCAATTCTTGGCCTTACAACATTTTTATTTCATGTTTGATCCGAGATCAGCATAACTCTGAATAACTCTAGGGTAGGCCCTGACTTGGTAACTTATATAATGTCTAGATCTCGGGGTTGATATCCCTGTTTTTGGCATTAATGATAATGAGATTAAGCTTATTGAACAAAGTTTAGTAATTTTATGATTTTGATGTTAATGCCGGGCCCAGTCTTATAAGTATCCAACTTAACAGCTAGTAGAAATTGTTTCTAACAAGCTATGAGCTATTTCTCTTTCTTTTATAGCAATATCTTTCTCTACCTGATGCAACCAACCAACAATAATTGACTATAAGTTGTCTATATACTATCATAATGGGCGGTTGTAGCCATGTGTTTGGCTTTAACGACAATATGCTTGCCGATGCCTTCATCTCTGACCAAAATTATTCACTTTCGGTCATTGACTGCAATTTCTTTTATAGGTTTCTCCAAGCTTTTAAGGTTATCGTATCTTTCTTATTTATATATTGCTTACTTTATTGGTTTGAAAGAATTGATATGCTAACTTGGCATTCTTTAAGTTACGGAGCTAATTGATATCTCTCAATTCTTGGCTAAGAGTAAATTCCCACATTCACAATAATTGACTACATGCCATGAGCTCCTTCCAGCTCTAGTATTCAACCGTTGTTTTACTGTGGTAATCAATGTGCCTTTTTCTTTAAAAAAACTTGGCTTGGCCTCCTTCTTATAAGGCTTTTATAATCATTGTTAAGTAATTTCACTTGATTTGTCTAGTTGCTTTGAGTTGTGGAAAATTTGATTATAAGTTCTATTCTAATTAACATGCTTGTTTCAGGTGGCTGAAAGGGCACTTCTCTTTTGGAATAATGATCAAATTGTAAACTTAATTGCACATAACCGGCATGTGATTTTACCCATCTTACTTCCAGCCTTGGAAAATAATACCCAGAACCATTGGAACCATGCAGTGCTCAACTTAACATTAAATGTCAGAAAGATGTTCATGGAGATGGATGAGCAACTATTCATGTCTTGCCTTTCTCACTTTAAGGAGGAAGAGGCAAAGCTAAGCATATTAGCCGAGAAACGGAAGGAAGCATGGGAGCAACTGGAAAGTGCAGCCAGTCGCCAACCAATAACCGGAAATACTGCTGTACTGGTAACTCCTTTGGCAAAACCAATCTCCTATTAACTGCACTCCTGAAATGTCGTTTCCCTGGGCTTTTTGTTTTTCTTGTCTCCCAGCCTTTTATAAAAAATGGGAATTGTATGCAAATGGCTTCCGTTTGGGGTTGTGGTAGTATTTTTCCTCGTTTTGTATGTTCCATTAGCAGCCGTTTCTTGTAACTTGCCTTTTATGTATTCTCTGATGCTTACTGTATGGGATGTTAATTGCTTCCTTGGAAAGGTCATGGGGAGGCCCATGCAGTGAATTTATGTCCGGTTTCAAATATGAATAAACTAATGCACATTTGCAGACAAAATTAATCAAACCCGAGTCATTTAGAGGGAATAATTGTGACCGTTTTTTGGGGCCCCCCCTCTCCATTAACATTTGCACAATGCTGGCATCTTATATTAACAGTATTTTCTTGTAAGATTGGATTGTGCTCTGCATGGCATTTGAAAAGTAGGTAATTAAAACTGAATATTAATGACCTCTGGGATGAGTGAAATACTGAAAAAAATGCTTATATTTATACTTGATTTAGCCCATGTGAAATGGAGTACATATTTGAAACCGGACATAAATACTCCCTTGTAATAAAAAGTATTAACGTGTGAAAAATTATATAAAAATAGAATAATTTAAACATAATTACATAGTATGGACACATTATGAGAAGTGTAAATATGAAGGCATAAACATGATAAATGCAACTTGTAAAACATGATTATCATATAGGTTGAATGAGTGGTTAGTGAGTTAACATCATGTAGGAAGATAGGTAAGGTTAGGTTAGATGAATCGTGCAATCTATTTTATAGATGTTACACTTAAAGAATATAGACAGAGTTCACATGTTGACTTGGATATATTGCTTGAAATTAATGAGAGGCCGATTTGAACCCCAGAGATTTGAGGATCACTTAATCGAACTAGTAAAACTTAACAAAGTTGATTCTTCTAACTGTACCAGGAGGACTTCGTAAGTAATTTAAATTAAATTCAATTTTTGGATATATATGCCATTATTATTTTTATTAACAAACTGAAATGAGATTTGTTAGCCAACACCTTAAATTGTTCAAACCTCGTGATTTATTAGCAATTCAAGTTTGCAATTATTATGAGATAAGTAAAAATAGACGATTGACAGTAAACAGATGATAAGATATTCACGGAAAGAAAATAAGGAGATAATCACTACTGCTCGAATTCGGAATTTCAAAAGAGAATAATATTTTTTTTAACCACCGAGGTCGCTCATGGATTTTTTTTTAATTATTAAATGGACGGTTTCAGTCAAGAAAGCTCATGCATGCATGAAGAAAGACTTTGGATTGAGCAGGGGCATTAAAATATTTAAAAATTTCACATAACTTAAAATTAGCATCCTCTAATATAAATTTGTGTTTTTTATGACGAAATTAGCAGGGGTTGCATCCCAACCATTAAGACCTACAATTATTTGTTTAGACACTTGTGGAAATTCAGGAAACCTTTATAGAAAGATGATTCAGTCTGGTCACACTTGTGATCGGTTGTCATAGCAGCTGTGACGTTTGAGTTGGCTATTCAGGTTAGCAAAGAAATGATACAATAGGGTCTTGGCTTCAGGCACCATGCTGGTTCATTTGCTTTGCAAAATGCATGATAAAAACTCCAGCAGCACAAAAGTACATTTAATAAGAAAAGGATATCCCCTTATAAACTCATCCATGCAATGGTATTTCTCTTCCCAATGTGTGATATATGCTTGTATCCCCAACTTGATGGATCCTATTATCTTTGTATACAATGTACCTCGCTACAGTGACCCTGACCTGACTAAACATTTTCGTTGACAGGAACTATAGTCTCTCTTACCAAATATTTCCAATGAAGCTTCCAGAAATTGGGCATATAAAGATGGTTTTGCTTTGAATATGCCTTGTGCTGTTGACAGATTATGTTTTATTGTATCTACCGTCTTTCCTGCGGCATGCAGCTGCAGGAACAGAAGCTGTTTACTTGGATTCAGCTATGAAGATGGTTTTCCTGTTCATTTGCTGCAACTCTAATCCTCTTGTCATCACTAGGAATCAATTGTCACTCGACCAAAGCTTCATGTATTGGTGAAATTTTGGGTGTATATGTGATAACATAATGCCTGTGGGGTCTGAGAAGGAATCTGATCCTTTGAAAAACTTTTACAAATCATATGGCCTTGAGGAGCATTTGGAGGAGTGTAAGAAACAACTGCTTGCACAAACAGCAACTTGGTCCTCCAATTATTAGATGTGATAGCTTATTATTGGTGGGGTTTGATTGCATTCTATGAATTACATCATACATTATTTTTATACTTGTTAATTGATTTCCCTATTATCATAGACTTATCATCTTTGTGGATCTATTAAATAATTTCAGTAATAAAAGAGTGTTATTCCTTTTAGAAATCTCAAGTTTGAAAAAAATGAGTCTTTCAGATATGTGCACATTGTCAATAACAAAAAAAACTTTATATATATTATAATAGTTGTGTTCTTTCTATGTTAGTTTATAGATGATATATATATAGGGGTTAGGATCCACTTACATTGTGTAAATTTTTTTAATTTTACATCTTTTTAGGATCGTTGGATTGAGGGAAATCAAAGGTTGAGATTAACTCTGTTTTTTCCAGTGAGTATCTTCTCATTTTCTACTATTAATCTTAGTCTTTAATTTCACTCATCCAATAGTCCTAAAAAGGTGTAAAACTAAAAAAGTTTTACACAGCGTAATTGGATCCTGCCCCAATATGGGTAAGGATCCACTTAAAACTCTTTAATTTCACACCTTTTTAGGATCGTTGGATTGAGGGAAATCAAAGGCTGAAATTAATTCCTTATTTTTTTCTAGTGAATATCTTTTCATTTTCTGCTGTTAATCTCAGCCTTTAATTTCTATCATCCAATGGTCCTAGAAAGGTGTAAAACTAGGAAAAAATTTTACACAATGTAATTGGATCCTTCTCCTAAATGGGTTAGGATCTACTTACATTGTGTAAAATTTTTTCCTAGTTTTACACCTTTCAAGGATCGTTGGATTGAGGGACATCAAAGGCCGAGATTAACTCGTTATTTTTTCAGTGAATATCTTATTCATTTTCTACTATTGATATCGGTCTTTGATTTCTCTCATCCGATGGTCCTAAAAATGTGTAAAACTAAAAGACTTTTACATAGTGTAATTGGATCCTACCCCTATATGGGTTATGATTCACTTACACTTTGTAAAACTCTTTTGATTTTACACCTTTTTACGATTGTTGGATTGAGGGAAATCAAAGACTGAGATTAACTCCTTGTTTTTTTAGCGAATATCTTATAATTTTTACTATTAATATCAGCCTTTAATTTCTCTCATCCAATGATCCTAAAAAGATGTAAAACTAAAAGAGCACAGTGTAATTGGAACCTACCTCTATATGGGTTAGGATCCACTTACATTGTGTAAAACTCTTTTCGTATTACACCTTTTAATGATCGTTGGATTATGGAAAATCAAAGGTTGAGATTAACTACTTGTTTTTTAGTGAATATATAACGCCCTGAATCCCGAGTTAGAAGTTTTGGGCTAACCCAAGAGGGCCTTAGATGAATTCCATAGCTTGAGGGAAGCCTTGACCAAGTTGAGTGGAATTAGGCTTGGGTTGAGCCCAATTTGGGTTTAAAAAAGAGATCTTTGAGAGTTTACCAAAACTTGAAGGACCAAGAAACAATTTACCCATTTTTAAATTCAAATGATGAAATCTTTTAATGGTGCATGTCACCCGTTGGTCTCCTTTCTCCCTATTCTTTGTCATTTTCCTTCTCCCAAAACTTAAGCTCTTCTTTTCATCTTCGTCCTCAAGCCTAAGGTAGAAAGGTATAAACTTTGTAGACTTCCAAGCATTTCAAGGCAAAGTTTAAGGTAAGAATCATAATTGTCTTATCTAAAGCTTCATTTTAAGCACTTAATATCTACATTTCTTCAAGTTAGCAAAAAATGGGTTTTGTGAGGGTTTAACGAACTTGAGTGTTTCAATTTGTTTCTAGAAAGTTTAAGCCTTAGGAAGTGTTCTTGAACCCTTCTAAATCTTTAAATCCAGCTAGTAACACTTATGCTTGATTTTGACTAGTAAGAGAAGTTGGAGAAAGCTCCAATGTAACACCCTTAATCAGCACCCGACCCGGATACGAATCCGAGGTGTCACATTGACTTTTCAAAACACATGTAATTAACAAATAAGAACAATTTAAAATTTTTGATCAAGATACACAGTATAAACCTTAATTTAAATAAGAAAATCATTTCACATTCATATTTACATAAAACTTTGATATTATACAGAAATACAAAATATATTAGTTTACAAAATATATCAGAGCATTTCCAAATTAAACTCGTAATACATGCCAACAGTTACAATATTACAAAACACATATATTTAATTTGTTCTGATATGATCATCAAAGGTGTACGCTATCATCAACCAATTAGTCTTCCTCTCTCTTCAAACCTACGCGTGAGGAATCACACGCTAAGTCGGTGACTTAGTGAGGCAAATACTAGAAGTGCTAACTTATTCAAGAAAACTTTATTGGTTTCTATCAAAGCATTTCATAAAGCATTTCAACTTATTTTTCCGTCTCTAAACAATATACTTATGTGTTATTCTCTTTGTATAGCTTTATTTCAAATGCCCAATGTATACTATTGAGAACTCTAGGTATTTGAGTACATTCAGGTTGTGCATTAATGTTGTCACCACAGATCGTAATTTGCACCGAAGTGCCACATAATTGTCTTGAATGACCACATAGGTTTGCACCGAAGTGCCATATAGGTTGCACTTAAGTGCCACATATTTCTCCTGAAGGACCACATATGTAATATCCCAAAATCAGGGCTGGTGATCAAAATAGAAGTTTTAAAACTTTGAGGTATGATTTCAAAAGATTGAAAAGTTCAAAGACTTATTTGGAAATATTTTATGAAAGATTACTAGTAATTATTAAATGAAGTAAGGGGTAAAATGGTCATTTGACAAGAAAGATTTGTATTTCCCTTTATAAGATAATGAACCATATGGAAAAGAGGAAAGGGAATATTTCTCCATAAAAATTTCTTCTTCTTCTTCTTCAGCCGTGAACTTCAAGAGCAAATGTGAGTTTTCTTGTTAGTTGATTATTTGCTGAAATTAAGAGTTGTTTATGATCCTTAGATGATACTTAAGCTTATGGAAAGCTTAAGTTATCCTAAAACTATCAGATGAAGGA